GAAAAACACTTACCCCATAGTTCTCTTTTAACAGTTAGGTTACTTGAATTAATTTTTAAGATTTAACTCCCGAGTTTAGAGTCACTTTAACTGCAATAAAGGAGAAATCGGGGATCCTGCCCTGCCAGATAGTACTGTTCTGTATGCCAGAGCTGTGTAATTCTCAGGACTGGATAGACAAATACAAATCTTTCGGCAGGTAAAACAGCTCTCATTTGATTTCATCTGTGTATTTGGCTGTTTGCCTGGAGTACAGCTTTAAAGTTTGCCAGATGCCAACTGCTAATGTTGAAACTATAGAGCAAGATAATCATTCTATCAATATTCCCTGTAGTGTTTCCTGTTTGTAAATTATTTTGTCTGGGCTCATGATGGAAGCAATGGAAGAGCAATTCCCCAAACATAAAGTAGAGAACAAGGGCTGAATGTAATTACACCACCATTCCTTGAAAATGTAATATTCAGCTTGTCTTTATAAAATGTTGTGCTGTATAAACAGAGTTCCAAAACAGATCTACTATATCAGCAAAGGATGCACTGTAAAAAGTATGCGCTAGGCCACATGAGGGCATTTCCCCATGTATGGCCAGATCTACAGGGTATACTTTGATGTTTTATGCCATGGTTCCTCATTATGAAGGAAATACTGTAAAGGATGATCACAAACAAGTAGGGATGCACCGATACTTTTCAGATACCAGTGCGGATACTTGGCATTTTCATGAGAACTACCAGGGTTGCAGCGGTTGCAGCTGAGACCTGGCTCTGGCGCCCCACCACTCTCCTAAAATCATTAGTCTGTATTGTTTTAGAAAAACTGTCACATGGCAATAAACAAAAATGTATCAGTACTTGTACGTACTTGGGCAAATATCGGTACTCGTACTTGCAAAAATGGTATCTGTGCATCCCTTTATTTATATTTATAAAAACAAAATCATACATTAAAACAGAGATGTACAAATCCCAGGAGCTCTGTGTGCTCCTTACAAATGACAGCTGCTTCATAGCTTAAAAACTGACATCCTAACTCCCCCCCACCCCTCCTTTCTATCCACAGCTAATGCCAAATTGGGCTTTGATCACTTACATTCTAAACAGTTATGGGAAAAGTATAAAACCCCTGTAAGATTTTTTTACTGCTATTTGGAGCCCCGAAGGAGAGATTTCACCCAGTTTCAAAAGCTAATTGGAGATCTGCAACAGTGACAAAGTTAACAGGGTGTGGAGATTTACCCTCACTTTGTGACTGGTGAAACCGTCGTCAGCAGAACAGGAAGTGAGGAGAAATCTCTACAACGGAGCATCGTATGGCAGAAAAGAAAACAACAAGGCTTCTAACTCTTCCCCACTCTTTTGACTTTACATACACTTTAATGTATATTTGAACATTGTTAAAGTGACACTGAACTCAGGAGTTAAATCTTAAAAAGTACCATAGTTCTCCTTTAAGTACCCTATCCATTAACAAAAATGGATCTTATTTGTACATCACTCAGCTGTAGATCCTCAAATCATCTCTGAATTGGTGTTGACAATGTCCTTCCTTCTGAAGGATGACTACTTTTGATCCCCATGTCCCTGTGCATGTTGTAAAATAGTCACCGCTCCAAGATCACTCCCATGATGGACTACAATGTCATATTTAGTTAGCTAATTTGTACTGAGATTGAAGTCCATCACAGGAGCGAGCTTGGAGTGATGGCTACCATGTAACACACACACACAGGGTCCATGGGGAACAAAAGTAGCCACCATCCAGAAGGAAGGACAGTGTCAGAATGAATCCAGAGATGATTTGAGGATCTACAGCCGATTGATACACAAATAAGATACATTTTTGTTAATAGTTAAGGTACTTAAAGGAGAACTATGGTGTTAAGGCTTTTCCCCATAGTTCTCCTTAGGGTAACGGGAGGACACAAACTAGCGTCCTCCCATCACCCTTAGCTCAGTATACCGCGAGCTACAGCTCGCGGTATACTGAGACGCCACAGTATACAGCGAGCTACTGCTCGCGGTATACTGAGACGCTGCAGCTAAAGCGGATCCCGCCAATTATGTCTGGATCTGCCCAGCTGCGTGAGTGACAGCTGTCTCTGCCTATATAGGGGCAGAGCCAGCTGTACCCGCCCCCTCCCCCGTCCGATCCGCCAGTCAGCGCTGGCGGATCGGAGCGTGGAGGGGGAATTCCAGCCCCACCCCTTTCATGGCAGAGGGCTGTGACAGGATCGAGAGGTGAGCGAACGCCGGTATGTGTTCGCTCACCTCCCGATCTACTGAGCCGACCTGTGACAGTCTCATTGTCACAGGTCGGCTAGAACTATGAGGTGAGTGAAAAGAACTCACCTCATAGTTCTTCTTTACAAGAACTATGGGGTAAGTGTGTGTTTTTCCCCATAGTTCTCTTAAGGCCTGGTTCACACCTGGGCGTTTTACAGCGCGTTCCTACACGCTGTAAAACGCTCAACATGTGAAAACCAATAATTGCCTATGGGCATGGTTCCCACCTGGACGTTTTACAGCGCGTAGGAACGCGCTGAAAAACGCTCTACGCCCAGAGAAGTACAGGAGCTTCTTTGGGGTGTATTTGTCGCGTGTATACATTAGGATACAGCCGGATAGCCCTCGGAAACGCGCGTTTCTTCTACCACAAATCGTGGTAAAAACGCGCGGCAAATGCGCATATTCCGTAAACGCCCAGGTGTGAACCCTGCCTAAGGGTCACAGGAGCACATATACTAGCGTCCTCCCATGACCCAAAGCTCAGTATATCGTGAGCTACAGCTCGCAGAATACCGAGACCGCCGCAGCTGGGACGGATCCCGACAATGCTGTTTAGATCCAGCCAGCTGCATGAATGACAGCTAGCTCTGCCTATACCCGCCCCCTCCTCATCTATTCCTCCTGTCAGCACTGAAGGATCGGAGAGGGGAGGGGGGGAATCCCTGCGGGGAGCGGCGAGTGTCACCGCTCTCTGCAGGGAGATGATCGAGAAGTGAGCGAGCGACAGTATGCCTTCTCTCACTTCCCAATCTATTGAGCCAACCTGTGACAGTTTCATTGCCACATGTCGGCTCCAACTAGGAGGATGAGTGATTTCCACTCACATCATAGTTTTCCTTTAAATGCATTTTTTACGATTTAGCTCTTGAGTTTAGTTAAGTAACATTTATAGGTCTCTTCCAACCCTTCGCCTGTGACTGGATAGTAATAAGAAGTAGTAGTAGACAGATGAACTTAACTCTTTTACTCTGCTCTTTTTCTATCTTTTCAATCGGGGTGCCATGTCAGTATAAAATAGACCACAAGAGGACAAAGCTGAAAACATATAAACGTAAATCCTTTTTTATTTTGTTTCACAAAACTAAAAATATGGCTAGAAGATCCAATTCTTAAGAAAAGCTGCCTGTATCCTGCAATACAAAATGATGGCAAAATCTCTGTTAGACGACAAAAGCAACCGGACACTGGAATTTAAAGCATACCTATCTAACCATATTAAAGCTATTTATAAGTCCATAAATACTGCTAATCCCTGCTTATTACTGCTATTATTATATTAGGTGGAAAACTGGTGCTGTCACAAAAACACTGGAAGATGATGATCCCTTTGACTTCAAAGTAAATTTCTTTTGGAGCAAAGCCAGTAACATACTTGAGGAGCTGGCATGTTAAAGTTTAAAATAGTTTTGGTAGAAATAGACATGATTTACTTTGTTTATGTCATGTCAATGTCATCAACATGTTTTGTAACACAGTGCAAAGAGCATTACCCATAGCAACGAGATCTGTCTAGAACAGACAGAACAATTAAAGCTGATTGGTTGTTATGTGTCAATGCACTTCACTCTTTTCTTTAACGAGAACCTTTAAAAGGAGAATTATGAGGTCAGTGCTTTTCACTCAGCCTCATAATCTGAGCCGACCTGTGACAATGAAACTGTCACAGGTCGGCTCAGTAGATTGGGAAGTGAGCGAACACATACCAGCGTTCGCTCACTTCTCGATCCTGTGCCGGCAGAGAGCCGTGACAGCGGAGTGACTGGATTCTCCCCTGTCCGATCCTCCAACGCTGACTGGCGGAACGGACGGTGGAGGGGGCAGGTACAGCTGGCTCTGCCTCTAGATAGGCAGAGCCAGCTGTCACTCACACAGCTGGGCGGATCCAGACATAATTGTCGGGATCCATTTAAGCTGCGGCGTCTCAGTATACCGCGAGCTGCATCTCGCGGTATACTGAGCTTTGGGTAACGGGAGGACGCTAGTTTGTGTCCTCCCGTTATCCTTCGGAGAACTATGGGGAAAAGCCCTGATCCCATAGTTCTCCTTTAACCGTTTTCAGGAAAGTAAATCTGCAGTTTTCTGAAAGTCACTATTTGCATAGGGCTAGGCACATCCCCACATGGTAATGATCAAGAATGCTGATAGGTCCCTCAGGCACTGAGCACTACACTGTGAAAGGTAGGAGTGGTGCATGTGTGTCTGCTATACGCTAAGCCAAGTGTAAGCCTGGGGGGACCCACTCACTCAGTGCCAGGCAATGCTCTGCTTCTAAGAGTGAGAAGTCAGGTTTTCCCCTAGCTAGGACTGAATGATGAAAATTTCACTTGCAAATGGAACTTCTACCTGCAATCTATATATTAGTGTTCCCGGGCACAATACCCTATGCACGGAGGAGACACATTGAAGTGGACCATGTACTACAAAAGCAAGGCCTGCTAATTTACTGAAACGTCCCCCAAACCTGTTTACATCAGGTCAGAGACTAAACTCAAAGTACTGTTATCAATAAAATGTGTATGTTGGGAGCCTGCACAGTGGGATGTGTCAGAGCTGCACACTTATTTAATATACTGAAATCATGCAAAATACAGTCAGTCAATATGTAATACATGTAATGTACAGCACATCTAATGAAACATGGTACATTTGGACACCAGACTATACGTGGTGCTCAACGAGAATGAGCACCAATATTATACTGAGTAGCATCTTACCTGAGCTTGGAACAGACAGTTTGGTCCTCATGTAAGGAGGGTGATTCACATTCGTTCCTGGAAAAAGAAAAGTATAACATTACAAACATGCCATAATATCAGCAAATGACAGAGTATCTAAGGATATATTCTTTTTATATAAATAGAGTGATGTGTACGTGTTAGGGAAATTCACCCCCTCATTTGCGCTGGTGAACATTGTTAACGGGATTGAAAATGAGGCAAACTTTTGAGCGGTCACCAGAACAGCAGCAGAAGGAAAATTTGGTGACAATTTCAACTGACAACTGTCTGAAAGGGCTTTACTTTCACTATGGAGAGATTTTCTCTTACTTGATGTGGTGTCTTCCAGTCAGAAAGTGAAGGGAATCTCCCCAAAGGGACACGCATGGCAAATGATTTAAGGAGGTTGTAAGCATACTCTACCCTGGAACAGTTACTAAAGCATGTTTCAATAGTCAGGACTGGCTACACATCAGTCTCTAGAGTCCTAACTGTTGCTGGAACTTAATGGAACGGTGGGACCTATGTGAACCCATGCACCTACATATACTACTGCAATTATGTAATCCCTCATTTGCATGAAGATCAAAAGGTTCAGTATTTAAACATTTTCCAAAAGGTTATGGAAAAACTCTTTAGATTTTCCGAACTGTCACATTTGAGTAAATGATGTGATGTCTACAGCCAAAACATTTTTGGCAAATTGGATAAAATAAGGGATGGTTAAAACCACAATCAGGTTAATTTTGCTTAATCTGTGTTCCATTGGGGTAATTTCCCTTTACTTCTGTCCTGTAGACCAAACAGGAAAGAAGGGAAAATATATCTTTCCAAAGTGAGGAAAATCCAGTTTTAGACAGTAGTCATGTCATTGGATATTTCTGTCCAGGTGAAAACATTACTTTCAGTCTCGGCGACTGGTCATCAGCAAAAGAGAGAGGTTGAATCTCCCCTAGCTGGAACACATACAGCAATAAAAGGCTATCACTATCAAAAACTAAAAACAACGTTTTGGCTTTATATGCAATTTTCTTAAAATAATTTCTGCACATATAGAGAGGAAAGGCAACTTTTAGCAATGAATTCAAATTTACCTAACAGGGACCTGACCACTAACCTGAATCTAACTGGCTGATATGAGTTAATGCCATTGTGCCATCTCTTTTCAGTGCTGACATATTTGCTTTAATAGCTGTAATCGAAATTGACAATGCTTGGAAAACTTTCCAGACTTTGAAATAACTAAAACTAGAAGAAGAATGCCAACTATTTTATTTGTATAACTAATTTTGGACTCCTAAAAAGTGCAGCAGAATGTAGCAGAATAAAGGAACAGGCAAAATGCTCTATAATTTGTAATACCCCAACCAACCAGAATGCATTTCAGTGAATTGACTTTAAAGCTGAACTCCAGGCAGATATCAAAGCCACAAATGAATGCAGTTCTATAATCATTAGTAAATAAAAAAAATATTTTTTTCAAACGGACACAAAACTCAGGAAATAAATCTTTAAAATGCATTCAAGTACTTTAACTATTAACAAAAATGTATCTTATTTGTGTATCACTCGGTTGTAGAACCTCAAAATATCTCTGAATTGGTGTTGACACTGTCCTTCCTTCTGGAGGGGGGGTACTTTTGTTCCGTATAGTCCCTCTGTGTGTTGTAAAGCAGCTACCACTCCAAGCTCACTCCATGGACTATCTCTTTTTTTTAAAATTCTTTATTTACAAACAACTCAGGAACAGCAAGAGAAACCATTGTTCACATTATAAAAAAAGGACCATAATACCATGACAAACGAAAGAAAACTCAAACAAATTTGCGCTTCATGACAGGCATATAAACAGGAGCTATTGGCACCCATCATTTGCAAATATCGTAGTCCAACACAGGCACGCTCTCTCCGATCCCGAGCAGCTACTTTTTTTTTTATTATATAAGCATAGAGATACAAACCAAACCAGAATATTAGACAAGAAACCTCCAACTCCTGTCTAACTAGAGAAAGCGGAAGAAGAAAAAAATAAACAATAGATGAGAGGAGCAAGACAAGATAAGGGATAAGAGTGAAGACCCAGAGGTGGAGAGAAGAAAGAAGAAATGGAAAAAAAAAAAAGGGGAGGAATGAAGGATGGAATAATACAGGGAGGGAGCAAGTTCCAAGTGGACCCCTCAGTCCCCAGGGGACTAGTTATGCTTATCACTAGGGCTTAGGTCAATGAGGATAAGTCACCCAGCGCAGACCTGATGACAGTATGATGCCTCAAGAAATTCAAACCACGGGGACCAAGTACCTACAAACATATGACAGCGATCATGCAGGGAGGATGTTAGGTCTTCCATGAGGCGAGTCCCCTTCACCTCCTCCACACACATGGCCACCGACAGTGGAGGGGATAGTTTCCAACAAGCAGGGACACATGCCCCAGCTGCGTTCACCAGGTGAATCACCAAAGATTTCTTGTATGACCTAATCGAGTGGGAAGATAGGTGGAGGAGGCAATGGGATTCATTGATAAGACTGCTGTCCGTTATCCTGAGAATGAGGTCAGTCACCTGCCGCCAAAAAGGCCGTATCCTGGGGCACTCCCAGAATATGTGAAGAAGGGTAGCGGGGCATTTGGCACAATGCCAACACATGTTTGACATTGATGGGAACATGTTGTGCAGGAGAGTCGGCACCCCATACCATCTAGTAAGCAATTTATATCTTGCCTCTTAAACTCTGTTGGAGATGGAAGACTCATGTGCAAAACATAGTATACGTTCAACTTCCTGTGGGGTAAAAACCACACCCAGATCCCTTTGCCATTGTTTTATATATCGGGGAGCATGAGGTGAGGGTGAGTCCACTAGGCACCTGACAATCATGGCAAGGACATGTCTGACTGGGCATGGACTAAAATCTCAATACAAATTAATAAAATAAAAGTGAGTTTGTGGATTATATTTCATCTGTGTATTTAGCTGCTTGCTTGGAGTTCAGCTTTATCTCAACCGAATCAGACTACTTATGAGGTAATGATTGAAAAATATACCTAAGAAAAAACTGCTGCCCATAGCTACCTGAAATAAAAATAACCCATACTGTAACGACAATAGTTGGAAACAGCTTTCCTTATACCACTGTTTTTCTACGTCAGCTTGGTTCTACAAAACCTTGATCCTACAACGGAGGCGGTAACAGCAGCATATAGTACAAAATGCGCAATAGATTCTCTGCTTCAGGGTTAAAGTGAGAGTGCAATGCATATTTGGCTGCTGTAGATTTACAGTTAGAATTCTGACTCTAGTTGCTATAGAAACTGTCCATGAACTCAGATGTGATATAACAGAAGGGAAGGCAGAAATATGCCAGGCACTGAAGATGTAGCCGGGTCCTTTAAAACTGATGTTTTGCATTAGGATGTTTTTGAGCAACAATCAAATTCAGGATCAGTGTACCTGTAGTAAATTCCTTTTAAAAAAAAGTGACATTAAGGTGCTAGACAGGATGATGTAATTATAGTTTACAAAATGAAATGGTTCCCTTTTACCTGGATTAGCTCAGTTGTCAATCAGGGGATCCATCTTAACGCTATCCCTTTGTATTACATTAAATTGCTTAAAACAAATAAATGACTTTTTAGCAGTATCATCCAAGGGGTTAGCCAGTAGGCTGGTAGAGAGATGCATCTACTTTTTTATTTCTGAGATACTGCTTCTTGTTGGACTGGCAATAGAAAGCAACACTACTTAAAATAGAGCTGAACTCAAAAAGTGAAGATCTGTTATCTTCCAAGGAACATCAAGCTAGTTATTGGCGTGCACAGCCTATTGCATTAGGGTGTGCAACACAAAAGTACACTATATTGCCAAAAGTATTGGGATGCCTGCACTTACACGCACATGAACTTGAATGGCATCCCAGTCTTAGTCCGTAGGGTTCAATATTGAGTAGGCACACCCTTTGCAGCTATAACAGCTTCAACTCTTCTGGGAAGGCGTCCACAAGGTTTAGGAGTGTGTCTATGGGAATGTTTGACCATTCTTCCAAACGCGCATTTGTGAGGTCAGGTACTGATGTTGGACGAGGTTCGAAGTCTCCGCTCTAATTCATCCCAAAGGTGTTCTATTGGGTTGAGGTCAGGACTCTGTGCAGGCCAGTCACGTTCCTCCACCCCACACTCACTCATCCATGTCTTTATGGACCTTGCTTTGTGCACTGGTGACTCTGCAGACAGTTGGTGACTCCTGTGCGCTTCAGCATGCACTGACCCCGCTCCGTCATTTTACGCAGCCTACCACTTCATGGCTGAGTTGCTGTTGCTCCCAGTTGCTTCCACTTTGTAATAATACTACTAACAGTTGACCACGGAATATTTAGTAGCAAGGAAATTTCACGGATGGAGTTATTGCACAGGTGGCAACGTATCACGGTACCACGCTTGAATTCACTGAGCTCCTGAGAGCGACCCATTCTTTCACAAATGTTTGTAGAAGTGTCTGTATGCCTAGGTGCTTGATTTTATACACCTGTGGCCATGGAGGCAATTGGAACACCTTAATCCAATGATTGGGAGGGGTGTCCCAATACTTTTGGCAATACAGTTTATATATAAAATACATACATACTGTACATACACAGACCTGAGGCCCATCTAATCAACTGTCCCTTCCAGCAGGGGTGCAATAACGAAGCAGGAAGCCTGGCAGGAGGTCATGCGTCTACCCGCTCGGCTTCCTGATTGGATGGGAAGCCACAGCCATGCTCCCTCACAGCTTCCTCAACACCAAGGAATGGGGCTGTTATGTGAGGAATGTAAGTGGCAAGTGCTCCTGTGCTCTGTATCACTGAGATGTCACAGAGAGAGTTTTGTGACCTCTCCACCAGCTCAGTGACTAAAAACACAGCGCCCGCTGTTGCGATTTTAGTGTTGCTCTCAAGGTGATTAGGGTGTGCCCATGCACACCTGACACACCCTTTGCATGTGCCTATGTAGCTAGTAACTTGAAAATTAGCTTTTTTGACTAGGATGCTTCCAAAAAAAAAAAAAAAAAGAAAAGCAA